AAAAAAATCAGCTTGTTTGACTTACTGAGTTTCTGAGTTCTTTATTTACTCTGTATAAGTCATCTATCATGTATATGTTTTCCAGATGTTTTTCTGCAAGTAAAGAAGCAATTCTTTTTTTTTTTTTTGACTTGGAGTCTCACTCTCACCCAGGCTGGAGTGCAGTGGCCACTCCCAGCCACCCCAGCCTCGACCTGCTGGGCTCTGGCGATCCTTCTGCCTCAACCTTCCAAGTAGCCGGAACTACAGGTGTGTGCTACCACGCCCGGCTAATTTTTGATTTATTGTAGAGGCAAGTTTTCGCCAAGTTGCCCAGGTGGGTCTTGAACCCCCGAGTTCAGGCAATCCACTTTTCTCGACCTCTCAGAATGCTGGGATTACAGGCTGAGCCACCGAGCCTGGCCAAGAAGCAATTCTTAAGGGGCAGGCAGATATCTGGGTTAGGGGCAATAAAAAGACTGAAATCTACAATCTTGTTTGAGTTTTCAGCTTTAAAAAATAATGAACAAACTTCCTTTATGTGTCAGAAAGTAGAAAGCATATTTGAACATGTGGTAGATAAAGGATGAGCTCTTTGATCCATTTGTGTGTGTAGCAGATCAAACACTTTTTCATAGAATAGCAGAATAGTCTGTGCTTCCAAACCATAATGGAAGAATTACGTTTGTTAGATAAGTAGATTTTTTAAATAATAGGCAATGCTTCCCTAAACAAACTCCATTACAGAGCTGCCAGAAGAGCAACATCAACTTTTTTTTTCACTTCACACCCTCTTTTAGATAGACATGTTAACAAATGTGGAACCGGCAAAAAAAGACAGAGTGGATTGTCAATTGTGGGAGCAAAATTCAAGCACCTGCCAAAGACAGTCTCTGACTAAATGGTCAGCTTGTGATACAGAATTGCCTATTATATTTGACACTAATGAATGTGGGGTCAGTGGGTAAATTGGAAATGGCTGAAAATGAGGAAAGTCATGAAATATTTTTAAGTCAGTGAGTAATGTGATAAAAAGTTAAGAAATAGAACTGGTTTCAATGTAAAGCTTTAGAAGTGGTGGGGAAACCAATCAACATGTCGTTGCCTTACTCTCAATAAATGAGAAGAAGCAATTGAATGAGGGCCAAAAGAGACACGACTTCAAAGACATCACAGAAGTATAACTAATTGACAGGACTTGGTGATCAATGAATGTAGATCTTAAAGAAAGCGAGTCTTGAGATGACCTCATTTTCTAGGGTGAGTGCCCTGTTGGTGATTCTCATGGTCAAGACAAGACCACAAATAAGAGAAGTGGGTTTTGAAGAGAATCCAATGAGTTCAGATTTGATATTTGAGTCTGAAGGGCCAGCAGGACCCAAGCAATGGATGAAATCAGTGAGTAGATAGGAATGTAACTCTGGGGCTCAGGTCCTCTGGACTGGAGACAGAGAACTGGATGTCATTAGAGTCTAGTTTATTTTAAGATGAGATAAGATACTACAGCATGCCCATGCAGAGTAAAAAGAGCAAGGATTACAGTCTGATTTCTAACAAAAAAATAATAGTTAAGGGGAAAATACTGCTTGGTGACAGGAAGGACACAGTGTTTGGAGAGATGAGAGAATCCATAATCTTGGATGCCAAAGATGGAAAGAATTTCAAGCAATGGTGGGTGATAATTAGAGACCATTGCTACAAATAGGTCTGAGCTAAAAAGAAACCATGGGATTTGGTCATTAGAAAGTCACTGGTCAATACTGGAAACAGCCCAAATGTCCAAAAACAAGAGACCAAGTAAATCAATTGTATATCCTTATACCATGGAGTACTACTCAGCAATTAAGCTGAATGATGGCTACACTCAACAACATGAGTCAATCTCAAAAACATTGTATCGAATGAAAAAACTACATTCAAAAATACATGCTACATGATTCCACTTATATGATGGCCAAAAATAGACAAAACTTATATATGGAAGAAGAAGTCAGAAAGAGGATACCCTTGAGGAGACAGGAAGGAATGTGGTACTGAGGAGAATTGATGGTGAAGGAGCACAAGAGAACTCACCTGGGTAAAGAAATGTTCTTTATCCTATCTGAGAGTACTTACAATTGCCGAAACTCATTGATCTGAAAATTTATTATCTGTGTATAGAAGAAAAGATCAGTGGTCAAAGATGAGAGAATGACCACCTAAATTTACTTGCTTGTAAATTCCCCTCATTGTCAGAGAGATATTCCTTTACAAAAGCAAGTGTCCATTCAGGGACAGGGATCACAACTACTCATTTTCTAAGAAGAAAAACAGAAATATGTAGTAGAGGATTTAGCAAGCCCAAGAAACAAAATCTAAGTGGTCAGTGGAGAAAGTCATAAAATACCTCAATTTTCACTAAAATGCTTTTTAAAAATGGAGATGGGGGTGAAGGAAGGCTAAAAAGAGGAGGATTGTTTGAAATTCTATTTTAAAGTTGGTCAAACCCTAGCCCTCCTCCCCCAGTCTCTATATAGGTGACTTCTCTCGCCACCATCATCAGAAGCCTAGAAGTGGATTCCCTGGAAAGACTAAAACAGACACTTCCTAGACTGGAGGATGTCAGACACAGGTGAAGGAGGTGTACTCTGTTGAAAGCAGGGGCCTATGTAACAGTCTATTTGCATTCTAAATGTCAACATTCCCAGGTTTCTTCTGTTACTCAGCTCCAGAACACTAGAAGACATGTTCATGAAGAATCTGAGTTTTAAGAAACATGATCAGTTCATGACAAAAAACAAAACAAGAGCAGCAAATCTAGACTAGAACAGGTCAGAAGGCTCTAGGTAAACAGGTCTCCAAAGAAATTGCACCGATAGACTCTCTAATATGATAGGAAACACTTTAGAGAGTTAGATAATTAGGGAAGTGCTTGGATTTGAATTGAGGTATGAGCACATGGAAAATTGAGGCAACAAACAAGATGCTTATTAACTCCAGGGATAACAAAAAGTTGAGAATGGAAGGAAGAGTATCAGAGTATCATATACATATGAATAACATTCCATGGTCATCATAAACACTGAATTTTGATTTGTCAAAAAGTTATGCAATTGCTGCACAACTATACTTGAAAGAAACAAAGTTAAGTATATGTGTGTGTGTGTGTGTGTGTGTGTGTGTGTGTGTGTGTGTGTGTGTGTGTGTGGAGTAAGAATGAGTATAAAAGAAAATAAATCCTCATCTCCCACGGAACAGTCAATAGATAATGACGTGAACTAAAAAGTCAAGAAGTTACAGCATAAGCACTATTAGAAGTAAGCACCAGAAGAAAGAGATGCCTTCAAAGAGTGGTAAATGGAAAAGAGACATGTTGGGGGACATTTGACCCTTTAAACCCCATGCATTTATAATCGTGATTTTTTTAAGTAATCAAATAAAACAATCGGAGTATTTGCAAAGAGGATTTCATGAAAATTAGATTGCAGAGTGTTGGAGAGTGAATTAAATTTGAGGTTGTTCATAACAAGTTGAGTAGTAAAAGAAAGTTATTGGAGTAAGTAGTAAGTTACTTGATGGAAAGACAAGATTGAAGGAAGATTGATCATTTGCTTAATGATGGTTCTTTAGGTAGCTAACTAATTGGTTAGTCAATTTTTAGTTTTAGGCAGGAATGGCCTTATGGAGAAGCAAACAGTTGAGAGAGATTGCGGCACAGGTGAGACGGAATAAATGAGGCATCAAAGTCCCAGATGAAGTAGTGGATGTTGAAATCAAAAACAGGGTTAAAGGGTTACCTTTAAAAAATGAAGGACTCTCTTTTCTGTAAGACAGAAGAGCAACAGGATAAATGAGCATATGGACACCATTTATGTAGATGGAAAGGACTGTTAAAAGAAATTATGTCTAATAGCTTATTTTCTCACTGGCAGCAGTGCTAAGCCATTTGTTAAGGGCCTGGGTCTTTTTAATGGTCTGCACTATTGGATTTTTTGCAATTATAATGAATTCTCATTGAATCCTTACTGTGTAGATATTTTTTTTAAACAAAGGGGGAAAGTGAAAGGGATAATGGGTAGCAATTTCAGAAGCCTAGCTGAGGGTGGAAATCAAAATGTATGTATTAGTCAACATGTAGTATTCAGCCATGACACTAATCTTAATGGATCAGAGCTTCTCCCTATAACTTCAGTTATCCTGTATTACTTCTGTACTCTAAATACAGTCACATTGTGGGTTAGGGCTTCAACATAGTGTTTGGAGAGAACACATTTTAGTTAATAGCATGTGCAATTCAGTGTCATGTGTTATTTTTCCACTTATACCCAAGCTCTTGAGAGCAGAAGACAGTTGGTAGAGTTGATCCACATTTAGAAATTAGCAGGATGGACTTGATGGATGGTCAAAGTGGCAAACGAATTGAGGGGCTGATGAAAGTATGGCTGAGATCATTGACCATGGGCTCTAGGAATGGTGGAAAGAGAGGCCAGAAAAGATCTGGGTTTGGATTAGGGAAGACACAGAAATTGGTAGGCTTGAGGGTAGCATCCTCTCAGGTCAGCAGGCTGGAACACAAATGGGAACTATTTTATAGCACAACTTCAGTGGATGCAGTACTGTCTTGGGACATAATTGGTGGTTTCTGCACTTTCTTTTTTTTTTTTTTGAGTTGGAGTCTCATTCTATTGCCTAGACTGGAGGGCGTGGCACACTCACAGCAACCACAGCTTTGACCTGCTGGGCTCAGGCGACCCCACCACCTCAGTCTTCCAAGTAGCTAGAACTACAGGCATCCACCACCACACCCACCTAATTTTTTAATTTATTATAGAGATGAGGTCTCGCCAAGTTGCCCAGGTTGGTCTTGAACCTGTGAGTTCAGGCAATCCTCTCACCTCGGCCTCCCAAAGTGCTGGGAGCCACTGCACCCGGTCAAGATTTTTGCACTTTCAACTTTACTGGAAATAATGGAAGAATATCAAACAGAAAAGAAGATTTAAGTTCATTTGTGGTTGTAATCTCACATTTTTGTTTCATTTTAGACGACTAAATACATTGAACAAGTGTGCCTCAATGAAACTTGATGTGAACTTCCAAAGGAAAAAGGTAGGTGTCTGCACCTTACTAAGACCATGGCTAAACCAACAGCTTGCAGTCATAGATTAAAAACAGCATCAACTCAAGCAAAATTCTGAAATACCCAGCCATCGATGTTTGTTCTCCAAATATCCCTTTTTATCATAACTGTCATAAATAAGTCCATTATAAACTCGGGCTGAGATCTGTTTGTTTCACTGTTTCATTTTGCTGCAGTTTTTTTTTTTATCGGGGGTTTACATAAAGTTATAAAATATCTCAATGCTTTATTGTAATCTCTCAGAAGTTTGTTTAGTTGTAAATGTCAACCTTTTATTTGATTCAAATACTCCATAGTGACGAGTAGATTAAGAGTTCAGGAAGGGATCTGTGGGTCCATGCCAGGTGTCTTCTGGTTCATTCTTTCCAGCAACATTTTGTTTCAAACACACATTTAGTATGCATGCATTCTCAGGCAGGTCCAGTTGATAATGTTATGAGAGACCAAGGGACAGTATGACCCTCATCTTTCACCATTCTTCCTCCAACCCCATACACTTTTCTCTAGTCACAAAGAATTTGGTTCCATTTGAAAAGTTACTGTGCCCTCTTCCAGTTATGAGTAAGCATGTGCTTTTCTCCCTGTATGAATAAGACTGGAGATTTCATTTCTGAAATAAAGCTATACTTCATTGAGCACTAGTGTTTTTGAGATACTAGTTTATGTACTGACCACACATGACCTCATGTAATCCATTGCAGTAGAGCTTCTATGTTTTCTTTATAGGGAAAGTAAATGTTGAACAGGCTACATCATATGCCCATGACCTTCAGCTGGTGGTGGAGCAGAGTTTCGATCTCAGGTGCATCTAACTCCACAACCAAGAATCCTGCCCACCTTGTTGCACTGCCTCTTTCTTACTGCATTGGACCTTTTTAGGACATTCAGAATTAAGATCGTGAATTTGGCCATGCCAGGCCATTGCGGCCATTGCCTTGTTAAGTTATGGCTTGGCCATGTGCTCTTTAAGATAGGACCAGGCCATGTTTCCTGGCTTTGGCCTCCTCCCCTCTTCTTCCTCCCCTGTGAATCTCTTCTTTCTCTCTTTCTCTCTCTCTCTCTCAAATTTACTTTCTAAATAAATTGTATTTTCGAATCTAACTTCTGTACAATTCTTTGCATCTTTCTTGTGGCATCAGGTCACACACCAGACATCTGTGCAAGAGAAAGAGAACTAAGGCTGAAGGTCTCAATAAAGTTTGTCCTTATGCCACAAAAAAAATCATTAATTCCTTTTTTTCATTTAACAGCTCCACTTTGTAACAAGTCAAGCCTCTGTATATCCTAAAGGAACAGAGAAAACATCTTTGAGTCAGAATAAAGTGTTCTTTATTCTGATCTGCACAGAGAAATCGTTAAAGCCAATGGATTTTAAGTCACACCTTAGTAATCTAATCTTTAAAAATAACTTTAACCTGATTTTCTGCTCTAAAATCGCACACATACAAAAAAAATTCAAATGAATTTTGGTGGACCTCACCTTAAAAACAATTTGGGATTTGAGCTAGGAACCAAAGATTTCAGCTAAGGAGGTAAAAGGGTGAAAAACAATATCCAGAAAAACATTAAAACCTGAGCAATTTGTCCAGGCCAAAGACAAATTAAAAATGTGGGAATAAACCTCCTAACAGCTGTCTGGCTGAATAGACCCCTTGAGAAGGATACATACTATTTGAAGCATGAGGGTCAGATGTTGTTTTGATTGGAACACATGGTTCTTATTAAACTGAACACAGCCATGCCTGTGTGTCTAAAGTGTGGGTGCTCAAAGGACCCGGTCTATACGGCCGCCTATCCTGATTGTTTAGCGACAGTGTATCACAAAAGAAAATGCCAAAAACTGATGACATGAGTTGTTTTCCGCAAAGTGAAGTGATTGTGTTTTTACCCTGTCACTCGCTTTTCAAAACCCGCAGGCGAGATAGGCTTGAATCACATTTGTTCAGCTCTTTATACATTTCTTTCACAAAAGCTCCTCTGTCAATCGGTCACCTCAGAATTCTGACCTCAATGGATTCCTTATATCAGATCTAGCGGCACCCATAGAGCCTCTACTTGGCAACAGACCTCAGAATACACGCACTTGAATGAAATATTGCATTCCACGTCGTAAACTGGGGAGTCATGAATTTTCAGATAAATACATTTTGGCATGTGGTCTCCACCCATTTGTGAATCTCGAAAAGTGACCAGCGTCTATGACCACATCTAAGCAACCACTCAGGGGACGCTGTGTGACACCTATTTCTGTGATCTGCTCCTCACGTAAGTCACATTCTAGTCCTCTATTTTACTGAAAACAAAAATAGAAAAAAATGAACAAGAAGTAAGACTAGGCCAAATGTTCAAAAATAGAAAAGGAGACTTGAGATCCAAGCACCTCGCGAAAAATATCGACTGATCTTGGAATTCATTTATTTGGAAGAAAAATAAGACAGCAGCTTTTCCTCTAGGTATATCCCCATTTTAAGTGATCCAAGAAGTAGAAATAGAAACTTCGTCTCTAATCTACAGAGGCCCAGACTTATTTAAATCTGCAGAAAGCCATCCCCAAATGGTTTAACTGTCTGAGACCATGACCATCCTGCTCCCTTGGGGCTGACAGCCCTATGAAAGGGCTGTGTGTGCTTGCTCATCAGTTTGTGTGGCTACAAATGCTGATACAGGGCCTTCTCTCTGTCAGGCACTATTCCTCATCATTAACCCCCTGTCTCAGATGCAGAAATGGAAAGGCTAGGTCGCTTTCCCAAAGGCACACAGAAATAGCAGGGGCAGGACTTGAATCCAGGTAATCCAGCACCAGACCTTTCAAAGATATTCAGAGACGTACGTACTGGAGCGTGAGTGAACGTCCAGCCCTTGCCCTGTAAGAGTTTCATGACATTCAGCTCACTATTTACATTGTTGCTTTTATAAGAGGACCCGGTCTATACAGCCGCCTATCCTGATTGTTAGCCACAGTGTGTCACAAAAGAAAATACCCAAAATTAATAGCATGAATTGTTTTCCACGAAGTGAACTGATTGTGTCCATCCGGCCCACAATTCATGAACTGTCTTCATGGCAATTATGTTTAATCCTAAAGATCTGGGTGGGCTGACCCAAGGAAGAAAGTGGAAAGTCTACAAATAGAGGAAGTTATGAAGCCTTGTCTATACTTGGCTAGACATGTGCTTTGCTTGTGTATCCAATACCACTTGTGAAGCATCTGGAGAAGTGACATCACACCTGCCCTCCTGCCCAAGATAGATTCTAACCATTCTGCAGAAGGGAAATGTGGTCCTATAAGGATTCAAGAAGACCTTTGCAGCCTCTGTGAGAGTTGGGTGAAGCATGTTCGCCATCTTGGTCACATTCCACACTGTAAGATTGACTAAGAACCCAGCCAAGAGGCATTTCAGGAGACCCTGAGGATGCCGGCAGTTCATCCACCTGGGGCTCAGTCCTCACTCTTGCACTATTCCCAGTAGCCCTTTCTTATTTCTGAGCAGGCAGGCTTGGCCATTCAACTCCAGTTAACTTCTAAATTCCTAGCAACTAGAGATGAGCCGCCTTTTGCAGCTGTGTATCTGTGTGGGTTCCTGTTTCTAGTGTAAAGATATGGCCAAATTCCATTTTTTTAAAAAAAGCTCTTCTTTTTGGAAGGCCTTATTGGCATCCGCCTCTGAGGAATATATAATTTCAGTGAAGAATGTTCTCATTTTCAGAAAAAAAGCCATGCAATGGAGGCTCAGCTAAATTAAAAACTCCAAGGCACACTCAAAGTGGCTCGTTCTTAGAAAAGTGCTGCTTCTTCATTATTACTTATGAAATTCACACTAGCTTCATGATGGCTTTGAAATCCCCTGGTTATGGATAGTGTTTGTGTGATCTGACTGCTATCCAAAGTCAGAGATCGAAGACTCCAGCAAGGCTGTCTATTAAATGAAGAAAGAGAAGGCCACACCCCCATGGGACTCTCATCTTCTTACTTAAGAAGAAACCCAAGAAAGAAAGAGCATCTTCCAAAGAAGTTTCTGGTTAAAGTGACAGTTTTCATCAAGCTCTCTGAAATCATGACCCAAAGTGGAAAGCAATGACTAATTGACACCTTGCTGCCAACACCTACCTCCTGGCCTGGATGCTTTGGCATTTCAGAGGTGTTGCCGCTGTTGACAGGGGCTGGAGCTTCACCTTTCCCCCTAAGTTCCCATGGCCTCACACACCCTCACATCTCCCATCGAATAAGACACCTCCTGGCAGCTCTAAACAGCTACGTCACATGAGAGAAAAACAACATTCTATCCCATCGTTCACTTGGCTGGAGAGTATTAACAGCCTTGAACTGTGAATAATTACCTGTGAATATCCTAGAACCATAGGATTTTTTAGATGAAAGGGATCTTCCATCATGTTTTCCAACCTCCCACCCACTCACATCAAGATTTACTTCTTGGCCGGGCTCGGTGACTCAGTCTGTCATCCCAGCACTTTGGGAGGCCGAAGCGAGTGGATTGCCTGTGTTTGAGACCAGCCCGGGCAACTAGGCAAGACCTGGTCTCTACAATAAATCAAAAAAATTAGCCAGGTATGGTAGCACGCACCTGTAGTTCCAGCTACTTGGAAGACTGAGGTGGAAGGAGCACCCGAGCCCAGCAGATCAACAATGGGGTGGTGGTGAGCAGGCCACTGCACTCCAGCCTGGGCGACGGAGTGAGACTCCAACTCAAAAAAAAGAAGATTTACTTCTTAGAGCGCCCCCCCACAAGTCACTGATCCTCTGCCTGTAGGTTTCTCAACATGATGAGCTCTTTAATGAGGCAAGACAATTTATGTATACTAGAAACATCTTCCATACAATAAGTGAAAAGTTGTTTTACTATAAACTGGTCCATCTGATCCTCGCTCTTTTTCCTGAAGAAGCACAAATTATAGATTTTTGCCTTTTGCATGGCAGTCCTTCAGCTCTGTCCTCCAGAGCAAGGGTCGG